GAATGTAAGGTCCGGCGTGGTGTCTCTACTGACGCTGTTCCCCATTCTGGTAGGGTATTGTGGGTTAGTTATTAGCGTGAGCTCCTCGTGCTGCGCGTCGTTCCACAGGTTGCGGCCTTTAACGTTTTCGATGGTGTAACCCCAGGCGGCGTGTGGTGCGTTAAAGTCGCCCACGACGATCAGTGCTTGTCTGCCCGCTACGTTTAGCACTTTGCGGAAAAGCGAGCCAAACTTTACCTTTTGTCGTGGTGGACTGTACACGTTCAGTACAAACAAGCTTCCCTCCTTTTTTCGAGACGGGAGAATTTCTAGTAGGACGTGGTCTATGTTGCGTACGCCAGTATCGTGTTCTACAGCCGTTATATTACGATGTATCAGTGTGGTTACTGTTGCTTTTTCAGCTAAAGTGCTATATGATTTGTATCCTGATAATTTTGCGGTCCCCCCAGTTTCCTGGAGGGCGATTACATCTGGTGCTTGCTTGGTTTTTACGAATTGCTGCAGGTTACCCCGCTTACGACGAAACCCACGACAATCCACTGCCAAATCGTGTATTCATTAGGCGGCGCCATGTTGGCTACTCGAGTTTTCTATGCAGCTGTTCTCAGCCGCAGGTGGTCTGCTGTACGGCTTGCTCTTGACCGGCCTCGCTCCTGCGGGTCGGGCGTCTTTCGAGACGTTTTCCAGCTGCCCTACCCTACCCTCGAGGGTGTCGAACCTCTGAGACATTTCATCTCGCATCTGCGTTATCTGCTGTTGTAGGTCCGCGCGCATCTGCATGAATTGCTGCTGTAAACCTACGGATATTTCCTGAAACATGCCTTTTACTTCTCCGAGTGTAGAGTCGTTTTGCTCATCGGCGTTTTCCTTTGCCCTTCGTTTATGCGGTGGCGTTTCTCCACTCATCGACGCGGGAACGGGTGTCGGAGCTCGAAGAGGTGTCGACGCCCTAATGGGTGTTGGCGTGGTATGGGTCATCTCTGAGTGTTTTGGGTTCTTAAGCTTAGCGTTTTCTACTTTAAGCATTTTTACCTCTTCCCTTAGCGTCGCGTTTTCTCGCTTTATTTGCTCTAACAACTGTCTGATCTGTGTTATTTCCTGTTCTAAGGCGGACCCCGCGCGTGTAGGTGTAACAGCAGTGCCAGAGACCGCGTCTGCAAAGCTCACCTGTGCCTGAGTTTCTACCGCTCCTCGGCTGGATTGCAATCTTGACGTTGCCCTGGATCTCGATCGGGTTCTCGATCGGGTTCTCGAACGGGTTCTGGACCGGGTCCTCGACCTTGGTCTGCGACCGGGCTGCTCCCGACTGTCCCCCTCGTATGGTCCCGGGGGTGAGCCTTCTGTGCGATGGCCTTCTGATCCCTGGGTGTTCTCGCTCGTTGCTTTGCCAGCTCGTTTGTTGTAGTCGTTGATGCCGTATGGTGTTTCGGCCTCCGCTTCTTCTCTTCTTCGTCGCTCCCAGCGTCTTCGCCGGACCAAATACGGTATCTTGTACTTTGCCTTGCAGCGTCTGTCTCCCGTAAAGTGAGCTTGCCCGCATAGCTGACATCTTGCTTCACACTGGTGTTCTTGCGGCGGGTTGGCCACGCCGCATCCTCTGCATATTTTTTCGTCTGGGTTGGGGCAAACGTCCGCCCTGTGTCCCAGCCTCCCACATTCGTAGCAAATGTCAATGTGTTTTCTGTATAGCGAGCACCGGACGATGAGCGCTCCGTATTTCACGTATCTCGGCACGTGAAGTCCGTCGAAGAGCACGATTACATTGTCTGTGTTGCCCATCCTCTTCGCGTGTAATATGCTTGGGTTTCTTGCTGTCACTAGGTTGTCTATAATATCTTCGGAACTTTCCTCTTGGGATATCCCTCTTATGAGTCCCTTAGATGTGTTTTCCGGCGCTGCTCTGTAGGCGCTGGCTTCGTGTTCTTGCTCTCCCACTCGGATCTTCGTGATGGCTCCGTACCGCCTGGCTCGCTCTTCGGACGGCGTGCTGACGACCACGATATTCTGCTTGTAGTTTATGCATATACTGTCTTCTTCTGCTGCTTCGCGACCGACGCCAGCGGCGTTTCTCAGGCAGCAGTATATGCGTGCCTGCCTGTGCTCCGAAACGCTGAGTCCTCCTCGTGGTCGCACGATCACTTTGTAGTCTTCTGCCGGTAGACGAGGAAGTCTGCTTGCATTAGCAATTTATCGTATGGTTCGTTCACCTTTCCACTTGCTGTCCCCAGGCGCGCCCGTCGGCGCAGCAGCGTCTCTTAGCATGGTTCTCTTCGGGCCTGAAATCCCTCCAGATGTTTTCGTGATGTTTCTTCTGCGGACTTCGCACCATCCGGCGTCGTTGGTAAAGTCCTCCGGTTGCATATCTTCTCCTTCCACGCTTACAACCTCCATCGTGGTGCTAGACGCGCCGTCGAGGCGTTCCGGGGTCGCCCCAGGCGTCCTCGTCGACGCGTTGGACCTAGCTCTCCCCGCCGCTGCGGCGGCAGACGCAATGTTTGATCTTCGTGGCGACTCAGAATTATCGGTGTCAGTGCCGAAAAAGCGGGCCCACCTTGCAATAGTTGGTATCCAGGTGTTCGGCTGAACTTCCTCCGTCGATTGGCGTAGAGACTTTAGCTAAGTTTTGCAATTTTTAACAAAAATCATTTGAAAACTGCGGAGCCCACATAACGTGCGTCCGCACTCTGCGACTCCTAGCGTCCAACCTCAAGTTGTTATAGAGAAAAATAAAAATTGTTCTCATCTTGCAGCAACATAGAAAATTCTGTTTTAAACGAGCGTGACATCATTTACTGTTTGACCCATGAGCGTTTTTTTGTTTTTTGTCACCTTCACTTGGAGCTGAACTGTACATCGAAGCCTTGAAGGCAGCCCGAACGCATTTCAAATGCCTTGCCCTGGGGCAGCGCGTTCACCGCGTTGCTTTGTGGCATATCAAACTAAAGAGCTTTTCTCAATAGGTGAAAGATTGGCTGCTTTTAAAAACTAAATTGTTACTACTCTTACATAATATCACTTACTATCCAAGATTCGCGAAGTCCCTCTGATGAAAGTACCAAAGAAAAATCTCGAGAGGCTCTTTTATGGTCCGAAGTGTCAGCTCGATAAATCATTTTGGCAAATCCCACCCCCCCTCACATGAGTGGATCCTCGATTCTCGAAGGGATTGGCTGCGATGGCTTCTCAAAGGAGGCACAGATACTTGTGTGTCCTGAAGTGTCGTGCGTGCTTGCGCGTTTGCCGAACAACCGCTGCGTTTCCCGAGCAGCACGGACTCGTGGCACAAGAGGCTGCCATTCTGGTCGTTTCTCCTCGCGTCACGTGATGCTCCGTTCGCTACCAGTAGGTCGCGCTCGCTACGACGGTCCGCTCGCACGCTCAGCGCGTGACCGTTCAGCGCATGCGCAGTGGAGCGACCACCGACTGGCTGAGCGGAGCGGGAGGCAAAATACGGTCGGCTAAAAGTGCCTAATAACGCAACGAAAGGCGAAAAAAAAAACAAAATCTACTGTTTCTTATGATGAAACAAGCGCTAAACATACACACACTCAGAAAGGACACAGACAAGCGCTTACTAGCAACTGAAAACTTTATTTCGATGCGAACACCAATAAAAACATCACACGCTTGTACATCATTCCCAACTTGCGATGTATTTATTAGTGTTCGCTTCGAAATAAAATTTTCAGTTGCTAGTAAGGGCTTGTCTGTGTCCTCTCTGAGTGTGTGTATTTTTAGCGCTTGTTTCATCATGAACCTTTAACAACACGCCCAAATGGCAGTCATCCTAACTGCTTTTTCTCCTGTACCAGACATTTTCTTCTACCTCTTTTTTCTCCTCATGGTGTTGGGTTATTACGTTTCGCACATTATGAGCCAACCACCGAACCTCTAGGCCTGCGCCGAACGTGCAGCACACTCGCTGCAAAAGTTGGAAGAGTGACCTTTCAGAGCCTTTTTTAAACACTCTTTTCGTAACTCCTCCATGCACACTTGAAAGGTATCTACTACGTTATTAATCATCCTATTTTTCGTGTACCAGGTCGGTCGGTCGGTCGGTCGGTCGGTCGGTCGGTCGGTCGGTCGGTCGGTCGGTCGGCATTCAGTATGCCATCCTTCCTCATTCTTAGGAGAAGCGAGGTACCCGCTTCACACTTGAGTTTGGGGCAATTTTTTAGGCGGCGGTGACGACCACGAAAAATTTTGCCTGATACTTTTGTAATGGGTTGGAGCATTCTACGACCCGCTCGTTATGCAATTCGCATTGTGTGACGCCTGAGTGTTTTTTTTTTGCTGTTCTCAAACGCTTTATCAGTCATATTAACGCGATCCATTTCTATATATATATATATATATATATATATATATATATATATATATATATATAATATATATATATATATATATATATATATCGAGCCTGCCTAGGGCCAGTTTGAAACAGAGTTTCAAACACCGGCATGAATGATTGGTAGAATACTAGGCTGGCATGCAGGGGACTTGGGTTCGAATGCTATGGATCCTTGTTCGTATCTTATTCACTGTTGCATTTTCTTAATTTGCACAATAGTAGTTACGAACGCCGGTGGCAGACGAACTACGGCACATGCGGCCCTTGTGATCTCGTAAGAGCTTTCGCTGTAATAACGCACCATCGTTTATTGTGGCTTAGCTACTGCGCGTCATGGTTCGCCAACTGCCGCTAAGAGTTCGTGACTAGAACTGAGAAACAGCGATTCCTACGATCAAGTCAGTCGGTGTCGATGAACGATCTTTTTTTCTATAAAGTGATAGGCTAAAATTAGATGGAATCAATTGAAGCACTTGAAGACAGATGCTTGGAGGCATGCGCCCTACAAGACGTTGAAATCGCCGCAGCAGCAGTGTATGGTGGGGTGGCTGTAGCCTTCTTCATAAGTGGTATTGTTCGTGTAATTGCTAGTATACGACAACATCTACCGTAGCCGGTGACGGAGCAGTCTCTACGAGACCCGACGAGAATGACCCACAAGCCGTGGCAAAGCGACGAGTTTGTCCTGTTCGAGGAGAGACAGGCCATCAAGTGCAAGTTCTTCAAGAAGGGCAACTTCACCGTCACACTCGCTCCGGGCTACCAGGGCATTCCCGAAAACCTCGTCATCAACCTGGTTATGTGGGTGGTGAGTTAATCATCCTAGTATTTCCTGAACGTCAAACATATGCTTCATTTTCGAGTATAGATTCAGAATTAGAATGCACTTTATTTCCAGCAGTATTGTTTGGGGTCCCCCAGGCAAAACACTGTGCAAGCAGCTTGACAGGACCTGAGGGCCTACGGAGGGCCGCAGATGCAGTAAATTCTACACGGTTGTAAACCCTGTCAACAAAAGTAAATAACATAATACGAAGAAAATCTAAAAATAAAAAATTACATCTTCATCAAGTAATCATGCACATATGATTTGAACACATTGAAAGGGGCACCGTAGTTTAGACGGGTTTCTGAGTAATTGTAAAGAGTTTGTATGCAATACTGTTATCTAGCTCTACCGTAGCTAGTGCGTGTATGGGGTACCGATGTTTGCTTGTTATATATGCTGTAGTCATCACGAGTGTGTTTTTCCTGTTTCGAAAGATTGTTTTTATGCATATAAAGGGAGAGTTTATTATCGTGCAACTTTGAAGCTTTAAGCATATTATGCTGGATGATTAGGGGCGCAGGGGGTAGTAGGCATTGGGTGCCCGGTACAATTTTCAAACACTGCTTAACACCTGCTTTTACAGCTGTTCTAGTTTCTAGTTCTCTAGTATTCTCGTTTGTACATGGTTAACTTTTCTCACAGCTTTTCTTCTATTACAACTTTTTAACACATGCTGGAATGCGGGAAAGAATAGTTATCCTATCCAGAAGCCCATTCTTGTAAGACGACCGTATGAACACAGATGATGATGTCAAAAAAAGAGGGAGGAGCCCATAATATGTAGCTAACAAGTGCGAGTTACGGGATAACGTAAAGTAACCCTCTGTGTGAAAACAGTAGAAGCGGTGGAGCTGCTGCTCTCCGGAGTTGGCCGCAATAGGGTGGTCAACAAGTTGGCCGCAATAGGTGGGCAAACACGCAGTCAGTGGCGATAAATTATTTTTTTGGGTGCCAAAAAAATCCATCGTTGTAAACGATAATTGTAATAAATGGGTCAATAAAAGGTAAAAACAAAGCAGCAGCAAAACAATTTCCTCGCATGAAAGTGACGTGGTACCACTATATACTAGGTACTTTTATTTTTCTTGTAAATGCAGAAAACCCATAGCTTGTCAACTTTAACTGATTCACGTGAAACTCGCTCGCATCTATTTCGGGGGCATCTAGGTATGCTCCATGCAGATGAGTGGGAGGTCCTTCCCGACAAGAAAGTGTCTGGAAGCACTGTATCATCCGTTCGGCCTCCTTCGATGACGGTACCTTGGCGGGCCACGTCTTCGTCGTCGAAGTCCGCAGCATGTATACGCGCAATGATCTTTTTTTTCATCACTGAGGGACTTTGGTTTTTCTCTTAAGTCTGTCCTTAGACTGAGGCACTTACACATTTCCACAAAACAGTGTGCTTGAAGAAAGACATCCAGATCCAATAAATCTACGTTAAGCGCCGACCACAACTCGGGCACCCCTTCATCGTCGGGCACTTCTCAGGACTCCTCTGGTATCGTTTCCCTCTCACCTGCTTTCTTCTTACGGCCTTGGCTAACGAAGTCCACCTATCTCGAACAGTTCTGCTACTCGGGGACGTGGTCTGCGCCGAAAGCCATTTTGGGTGCGCGCTGTAGCCAGATTCAATCGCTATATCCAATATCACGATATTGGAGCATCGTAATAAGTGGTTCATTTTGCCATGTAAAGCATACAAACGTGGCCTCTGTCGTTTATTTATTGTTATATCCAATAAACTGGTATAAATGGCATCGTTAAAAGTGCACTTTGAAAACATGACATCACGTGCAAAAGCCAAGTGTCTAATCGGCTGGGCTTAGCACCAATGGTTGCAAGCGTGAATATAGTGAATGTTTGTGGACCATTTGTACCTGTGACGGCTGTGTCCACGTAAATAGTGCGCCTGCTTCCTCTAACAGTACATCGTTAGCCTGTTCAGACTGCATCGTGGCGACAAGGACCACCCTAGTCAGTCACGAAGCCTGCTACAACATTGTCACGGAGTCGTGACGTGGCCGAAGGAAGTCGACTACAGATCGAAGATGAAACTGTTTATTCGGGCCAAACTTGTGGCCAACAAATGAAAAGTAAGATTACAGCTAGGCACTGGCACTGAAAGCGCCGGGCAGAGCGTCGGCCGTCAATCAACTGACTAGCGGCGAAGCGTGTCGGCATTTATACCCTTGCCATCGAATATTCTAGCATAATCACTAGCGGTGACGTAGGTTCCCGAATAATATGTGACGTTCTCAAAGTGGGCGTAATCTTAACAAAACGATCTACTAAAGCCTCGAAGCTTCTCGAACATCGTAGGGGCAGTTTGCGCTGAAGGTAGTGTAACGGGGTGACGACAAAACTTGAGGAAATGGAACGTGGCAATATAAAGGTGGCAGAGTGGTAGTTAGGAGAAAACGGTGTGAAATGTACAAGGACACAAACACGACTCACCCAAATCAAGGTCCTGCTGAGCAGAGGGGTATTCTGGTCTTATAATCGGTGGACAACCATGCGGTCGCCACCAGACACTAAACGCAATGATAATATCTATGCTTTTGCGGCCAAGTCGCACTGCATATTGACCAGTACATGGACCTCTAGAATTTTGCCTGCCTCATAATGTGACCACCATGGCCGGGGTTTAAACCCGCCACCCTCGGGTCAGCAGCTGAGCACGGCTGCTGACCGGAACGTTGCTGGTTGGTACCGTTGCGGGTTGGTACCGTTGCTGGTCGGTACCGTTGCTGGTCGGTACCGTTGCTGGTCGGTACCGTTGCGGGTCGGTACCGTTGCGGGTTGGTACCGTTACTGCGACAGACAGGCACAAAGCACAGCACAGCGCGCTGTGTTCTTCGAAGGAGTGGCTTCAGGCATGTTAGAGTGCATGCAAGTATTTTAATATTGACAGTCATGACGAAATACTCTGGCAAATCTCAAGTGGTATTGATTATAATAGTGCTAAAATCTTGGATCTCACGTGCATCGCCGAAATCTCGAGGTATGGTTATATCAAGGTCCTTCATCGTACCCAGCTTAAGACATCCCTCAGAAACGCACGAACACAGAGCCAGTGGCTTGCGCGACTTGGACGAACAAAGGACTTGTCATTGGCTTCATAGTTCGCATTTAATATTGTGGCTTAAACCCTTGCTGGAGATCTTGTGGCAGTCCTTGCACTTGAGGTGTTCTTAAATCCGTCGTCCTTTACTTTTTGCCATCCTTGAGTGTTCCTAGGTGAACGAAATGCAATAGAAGTGCACGATTATTGAAACCTTAGGACGTCGAAGCGAGCGGGAACTTGAGCTTTTTTTAAAATTATTCTAACAGGAGAGATTAATTCAGAAGAATGTGTCGAGAAAGGTAAAAGAGCACTTAGACAAAAGTACGGCACTTTGGTTTTTTTTCTTCATCTTTTTTTTCAACAGGTAGCTCATCACATAATCATAACCTCGTTTACGCGACTGCGTCGTGGCTATTTATTTAGGGACGTTTTCACAGCGCCCAGTCTGAGTTTCAGTTTAAGAGAGAACCTAGCCAGTCAGGAGTGATTCCGGTAGACAGGTAAGCCCACTTCGTCACGTGACCACGCAAAACTATGACGTGGTGGCGCGCGCAAGAGTGTGCGCGGGCGGGTGCCACGCTAAGAGCCAGCACACGCAAAGCCGCAGGCTAGAAATATGAAATCACAAGTAGCGCAAGCGCTTGGTGCTTGCCAACAACCGGCCCACACAAACTCGTCACTAGCTTTGCTTACATTGCCGCCGGGTTGATGTCTGCCTTGTGTTTCCACCAACGCGGAGCGCCGGAGGCGATTGTCGCGCTTGATGCGGCATTTAGGGCTACATACTCGGCGACAACTTTCTGTGGCAGCAGAGTCAAGGCCACGACGCACACACACACCCTTTTTTACTTTGATAACTCTGAACACTTCGATCTTAGCCAAAAGGCCGATAACTGTGGTTATATCAAGGTCCTTCATCGTACCCAGCTTAAGACATCCCTCAGAAACGCACCACGATTCTGCATGTAGTGCACGAACGCTAACTTTTTTGTATACTGCGTAGCTTAATGGAAAGTATAAAAAGAAAAGATTTAGACATTAGGTTCAACATTGTTAGTTTTATCATTAGAAAGCATTAACCGTACAGGTTTTTCGTTCTTTTCTGTTTCTTGTTTTCTGGTGCTCTTTTACCCACTGATCTTTACTAAGGATCTTTACTGATCTTTACTAAGGAAGGTCAGTTATTTCACTTTTTCCCTGCCCCAATAAACAACGATGGCGTCGCTCAGTTGCAGCAAGTTCACAACAGAACTTGTGAGCGAGCATGAGAGGGTGTTCATTAGGTGATCCGAGTTCATCGAGCAGGGAGAAGCGAAGACAGTGGTGCGTTGTGAAATATTTTGTTTCCCGCACGTGCCATCACCGAGAATTTGTGCGCGACGTGATATCATCAGTTAAGGTGGTAATCGGTATAGCCGCTAATAAAGAGACACCGGTGACCTGCCAGTCTTCAGCAACACTAGCTCCATGAACGAAAAAGTGCGGTTGGAAACTGCACGTAAAACCAATGAACCTTTTCCCAAATTGTGTCGCATACGTGGTCGATGCTTCAGCTGCCAAATATCTTTGATAAGACAACGCTGATTATGATCGCGTACTATAACACCGCTCCCGTCGGCGTTTGCGGAAGCAATCGTTACTGGCGCTTTGCCTGGGTAACAGACGCTTTACCCTGATGACTGTGGGCAAGCAGCGTTCTTGGACGAAGTAAAGATTACATTTCACCCACTCGGATTAACGAACGTGAGGCGCTCGCACATGACCGATCGGTGCCGAGATTTCTGCTTCTCATAGTTGCCTTCGCGTCGCCCAAGGAAATAACGTGAGCGTCTCGAGAAAGTTCTTGCGTTTCTAAAAGAAGAAGAATGACGCCGATCAAGTATGCACTGAAATTCAGGAAATTTTTTTGCGTTCTTCCAATCGCCCAGTACATGCTCCACCGTACCTTTTTTTTCTTTCTCAAATAAACCTCAACGCTTCAAAGAAGTTTTGTGTTCTTTCACTTTAAAAATGAACATTTTATTTTCTTCCTCCTGAATAAATGTAAGATTAATTGTATAATGGTCATGCGAAAAAGTACGCGTTGGTTGCGCTTGCTGAACCGAAACCTAAATCGCCCAAAAACGGACTATCTGGCGTGGTAACACATGTGAGGCACAGGACGTGAACAGCAACGCTGTAATCGAGAGGGACTGGCCCTCGCACCCCACCCTACACAACACATACGAAAAAAATTATGCCTGGAACGTGAGCCACGAACGTGCTACCCAACCTTCTGTTTTTACCCTCCTCTTTAGGTACGAAGGCGAGCGCCTCTGATGGCCGCCCCCTGCGAACACAGCAACGCTCTCACAGTTTTCTCAAAGCAGCCGTCATGTCACGTGACATTACCGTACCGGTTCTGTCACGTTAGTGAGCGGTACAGAGGCGAGCGGTCCCACGCGGCGGCCGGTCGCAACACAAGGCAGCAGGCACGGCCTCCGAGATGGCGTGCTGGCAGGAGGCTCCCAATTGAAAAGAGCAACGTTCCAGGCATAGTTTTTTTCTAGGAGGCGTTGCCCTACATATCGAGGAACGCGGTACACGCGAGTGAGCCGCCCGGGACGCTCATCGGCGTCCCGGACTGAACGCTTTATCTCTCACATGCGTGGTCCGCATTCCACAAGAACTCCTGGAGTGGAGTGCGTGCTTCACACCCCAAATGACAACTCGATCCACTTCGATCATAACGGCACCATACTATTTTCCACCCGGCAAGCCTCACCCCAATGCAAGCGCTGAACCTGCGGTTGGGCCTACTCAAAACACTTCTAGTACACTCTACTAAGGCTTTCGCCTTAATAAAATATTTACCTGACTCGTTGTGGCTTTTCTTGACAACGTTCACGGCCACAACAAGGGTGAGCTCTTGGGTAGAGGAGCTGGAGGCTTTAGGTTTTGGCATAACCGGGATATTTACTGTAGCTAGAACTTTCCCGTTGCTCTTCTTCGCCGCTGTTATATAAATCAAGATCAAGGTGTATTTAGAGGCATCATCATTTACCAGATTCCATTAGACGCGCCTACCGGCAATTCCTCTTAAGATATCTTTATATACAGCGAACATAAGCTTTTAAATGACAGTTCTAGATTTAGGTAATATGGCATATTGCGCCTGATAGCATGTTTCAACTCTGTGTAAACATCTTGAGTGGTACAAAGCAAAAAAAAAATGGACACGAGAAGGAAGTCAGGTAGGCGCTCACAAGCTCTAACGTCTCAAAGACAATTCATGACATACATATATATTAGCCTAAGGAATTTCATATCCCACTGGTACGCATGCGTGTTAAGGTTTTGTATTTGCATTTCTTCGTTATACGCCGAGATATACGCGCAAGCCCGAGCATGAAGCGCCTGCTGCAAATGAAACACCAAAAAGCTGAAAAGTAGGGGATGCTAGATGGCCCAGAACAACGTATTGCTAACGTATAACAAGGTCTTCTATATCTGAGTCACAAAAGGCATTAACTTCACACGCAGGCCACAAGAAGAAATGGAATCGTGTTATCGATAGTATATTCATTGCATTTAGTGCAAGAAGTCTCGCTAGTCTCGACTGAAGCTTCCCAAAATAGAATTTCAGCCTCCAAATACTTGCACCTGGTGTAAGAAACAAAGTGTAATAAGAAAACTGACCCTTACCGCAACTTCGGCGAGGTTTGACTCTGTCGTCTGTGCTGTAAGGCAACTTCGAGATATGGCGCAACTCGTGTTCGACGCTGACCGCACTATTCCTGCGGGTTCGGGTGTCGACTTCATGGTCAAATGCGAAGCGCAGCTGGCCCACATGATCTCCGAGAATCCGGGTGTAACCCCCTCGCAGCACCGATCTCAGTACGTCAACGACGCTCGCCTCGTTGCGATCGACGCGGAGGAAGATTTGTGGACGGTGCGGTATAACGCACAAGAAGATGACGTCGTGCTGATAGGGCACGCGTTTCGGATCCGCGGCCATGACGCAGGCGAAGGTCCTACCGAGCTTCTCGATCTTCGCGCTGACGGCGTGGCATCCCTGACGTCGCAGAGCGTTCGCCAGGAGGTCGTGGAGGACGAACCTGCCGGTCCAGGTGGTGCCCGTGGCATCGGCCTTGTAGGAACGCCAAGTGTCCCTTGAAGGCAACGCTCGACGCAGCGAGAGGTAGCAGTAGAGCCAGGCGATGCAGAAGACGCGGGCGTCTTGAGAGTCGAAGGCCTGCAGCGCGTATCGAATCGAGTTGATGGCCTGTCTCTTCGAGACGCCTCCCAGATCCGGTAGCCACCACAGGTCCGTTTCGTTGAGACGAGCGACCGCCGTCTGCGACATCAAGTTCAGCACGCAGCACAGCTCTTCCAGATCCTTGTCGGACATTTCGGTCGGAGCAGAGGGGATCGGGCGAACTACTTGGTTCACCAGCAGTGCTCTCCAATGTCACTGTCGCAGTCACTTGCTGCACGTGTCGCTGGCGGCGGTCAATAGATAGCTTTCGGTTCCGTCAGGCAAGTCACCTTGTTTCAGCACCAGCACGATTGGCGATCAGATTAGTGACGTCACTTCAGTGCATTTTGCATTGTGAACTTGAGGCTATGCTATTTCACTTTTCTTTCGCCTGGCATAGACACCACGCACTGACCAGAGGGAGTTGCGTTGCACACACTGCCGCGTCTCAAATTTCTGACATTCGCCGTTAGGGGCACGAAGAAAGGAGACGCGTGCTCGCGTCCCCCATGTATCCCGTCCACAATCCGCTGACAGATGCAGGGCGCGAGACGCTCGCGTCGCGTTCCATTTACACCGATGGCGTCTCAAGGTTTCTTCTTTTATCTGCTATGATATGTATTCTGGCGCTACAGTCAGACTTGAAAACTTGAATCAACGGTGCCTGAGCTGAGACACGGGTAATTATGTACTCGTGAGGCATAGCGAATTTATTCGTGCTCACTTGCTTACAAGCGGTATTGTTTGCGAGTGATAATCGCTTGGGAAGCAGTTTTCATTTTGCAATGTCATTTCAAATTGCGCGAGTGGTAACGAAAGGGATGTGGGCAGTCACCTTTTTCCAAGCCCCGCGGGATCCTGCATAAAGTACCCTGTTATTCTAAATGTTGATCACATCGAGAAGATTGTAACCAGCTTCGCTCATCGTCGGCTAACAAAGATTACGGAACTTCAGTCAGGCTACCTTCAAAATACACTCAAGAAATTGCCTGTGTTCACGCCGTATGTGTGTGTGCGGGTATGTGTGTTTATGTGACACGTATTGGCTGGTGCCACAGCAAACCGCTCTATGAATAACAATTAAAGCATCAGGAATGGTCGTTCACGAAATCATCTCTACCCTATCTTTGATTTCAGTTTCGAGATTGTAACTGCACGCCAAAATGCAATGACTTCGGAGTTTGATATAATACAGGAGTGGTTGAGGCTTACCCCCGTATTCACAAACGCTCCTCGACTCGACTTCCACCCTTCACTTGACAGAGTTGAGTACTGCGCCACCGCTCGGCTGAAAATGGCGCTGCGCTAGTCAAGAATCACAGCAGGTTATCCCTGATATGCAGTGACTTGCCGTGCCTAGAGACGGCGCTTCCATCGGCTTTCTCAAAAAAGGTGAAGCGTTGAGTGAAGGGACGTTCTAGAATACGGGGGTTAGCGTATCACTGGTAGCCGGAGCACGTGCGTGGGGTAGCCTTCAAGGCTTTGACTATCTTGCATAAGGAAGAAATGATAAAAAAAAATATCTAAATAGTCGTCTTCCCGTAGACGCGCACGTGTTTTTGACAGGTGGCACTACCATACCTAAGCACGCGCACGTAAGTTTTGTAACTACTTTTCGGCCATGGTGCATTCTTTCAGGTGATTGTCTGCCTTTTTATTGCCGAATGGTAATGATAATACCTTGAGTTTTACAGACCGAAACGACGGCATGATTATCAGGTGCATCGTAGTTGGGGAGGGGGGTTCCAGAGATGTCGACTATCTAGTGTTTCCAGAACTGGCCCAGCACAGGGCCTTTAGCATATCACCTCAATCGGAATGCGGCCGTGAAATGAACACGCGAGCTTCGGATCGGCAGCCTGCCACCATATGCACTGCTCAACTGCGGTGTTCTTTTAAATGCGGAGCATTTTATCGTAGTCCCTACTCGCGAATACGGTGTTGGCGCTGTCGATGACACGCCGACTGCGCATCTTCTCGTCTCGTGCCGCATGCTCGCGTCTCGTGCAAACCGTTGCCCCCCCCCCTCTCTCTCTCCCCCTCTCTCGCATCCCAAAACCGACGAAGGTAGCGCATGGATGTAAAAACCGATTCGTCGCGCTGCACAACCGTTCAGTGGCTACCCCGTATATGTAGGCAATGAATCACGCGTTTGGAATTCAGTCGAGGGCGTCATCACTTGGCGTTCGCTTGACTTGACGCTTTTACATGACTCGAGTAGATGCGATGGAAGCAACTGTACCACCTAGGGCCCAACCAGTGTTTGTATCTTACAACCGTGGGCACAACACGGCATCAGCGTCCCACCACTCGTTTAAGGCAACGCTTCTTCTTGACTTCAACTTGACTTGCCACCGACTTCGATACAGCACAAATGCGTTTCGAACGTTCTGTTTTTTTTTCACTTTTTATATTTTATTTTTTTGCTAAGGGCCGTATCTCAGCCAATGCCATCAATATTTTGAAACGGCGAAGCACTCCACTCCCATACACTTGTGTATTATAGGTGCCAGGACACGAGGGTCTGCAGGGAAACGAAGCGGCCCACGCCGCTGCCCGCGAGCACGTCAGCCGGGCTGCCCCCTGCCCACAGGACATTCGATTCGTCGGTGAAGAGACGGAAGTTGTTCAAGACACCCACTCGTCGTTACTCCAGCATTACAGGCTGGAGCGAGGAGTATACCCTCCACCACACCCAAAACTTACAAAAGAGGAAAGCGTTATACTGAGACGCCTGCAAAGCAGCACATACACACATGGGGCCCTAATGCACCGTCTCTACCCAACGAGATATAGCTCTATGTGTCCGCTTTGCAACGTACCGGACACCCTGGCGCACTTGCTTCTTGCATGCCAGTGTATTACCAGACATAATCTGCAACAACACACGACTGATAACGAAGCAGGACGGACGAACGAAGACCTAACCGAAACGTGGGAGGCGAAGCTCGCCCTCGAGGACCTGGAAGAGCAACAACAACTCGTCGCCAGGGCCAAGAGGGCAGTAGAAGCCAGAGGGTTCCTGGACTAAGGAGCCCTCCCACCTCAGGGTGACATCGGGCATTGCTCGGAACACTGTTTCAAAATAAACGTTTACTTCTCTCTCTCTCTTATATTTTATTTTCCTCAAGGGTCACTAACAGAAGGGACATTACATGAGGGGTTGGCACACATGAGGGGTGTGCATGAGGGTTTTTCGGCGGTGTCAAGGCAGCACAAACGCATAGACGCGTTTCAAACATGGTTTAAAGTCAATTTCAAGTTGAGGAGCGTTTGTTAATGTGGGCGTTACTCAATAAATAAGAATAACAAAGGCGAAATAACAATTAGGCATTCCCAAACCACCCCGAATTACGCAACATTAACGTGATACCCCCACAGTGTGACGCATTTAGTCGAGTTCCCCTCGTGGGATGATTCGAGCGGCTTTTTTAGAGTGCCTTCTTGACTACATGACAAGATAGTCTAACAATAAAACATCACACCCGTTTCATGTGCATTAATGCCCCAAAAGATATCACATCATCACAGTCAGCCATCTTATCACATATCTCACTTTGCTACTATTTTCCGGTTCTTTCCCCTTATCACAATATCTATGGACGTTGGCTTCTTTCCTAATGTAGAAAACTTCAGCTTGAGATGCTTTTAATCAATCTTGTATTCGTTTTGGCAGTGATGTTTTGTCTTTGGATATCTAGTTAATGGCGTCCATAGACAAGATGGCGCGCTGAACAGTATGCGGCATTCCTCTCACACACTGATGCCTCTTCCACCAGTCTCCTACCCCGTCATTCTAGACGGGTGCAATGAACGTTATTTCTCTCTCTCTTCCACCAGTGTCTAGATGCTCGAAGGTTGCCAGTGACGAATCATAAGAAGGTGCAGTGATCACATGCTGTCTGGTCCCTCGTATGCTGTCATGTATCACCCGTCGCCTTATGTCACTTGGCGTAACGCAGGCAAAACAATATTGTGAACGCGAGCTTCATTGCAGCGCAGTCGAAGCGCTCATTCACATTTACTACAGATTTTAAGTTGGGTGTGGCTGCATACATCTTTCATTTATGCTTTTTTCTCAGGGCCTCATCACGCTGTACAGCGTACTGAACCGAACTGCGAAGAACTACAGCAGGCTGGCCTTACTACACAAGGATGACCAGAAGTAAGATGTGCCGTTTCACTTATATATACGTATCACAACACCCTTATATTGAGGCTTCATTGCTATGTACCTGCTAGTTTCGTGATTAAGTGTTTTTATTATCGCCCACTAACTCAACTTCAGCATGTACAAATTAGTAATCTTAAAAAGAACTAGATGATTAACTTGTGATTGAATATCACAGAATTATACTCCGGTGTTCCGGAAGTCACAGTAAACGTCTATAGTGGGTTACAACTTAAGAGCGCAATGGAGGCTTCACTAAGACGACCCAAGCTCAGCTGCTTATTGCCCAAGCGAATTATGGAATAGTTCTGCACGAAGTCACGTGCATATATGGGCCACATACACCATATGCGGCATCTTATAATCCATATATGGCAAATGGTGGTCACATACACAGACATAAAACCCCATATACGGCCGCATATAAATTCTATAAGTGCCATATATGGCATTTTCGTAAGGGACAGGTCATTCCGTTCATGACATCAGTGTGGAGTACCCGCATATTAATGGATAGTCTCATTCATCCGCCTTTGATAAGGAAAAACCGCTTCTATATAAAAATGTACCCCACTCTGATAATCGTTAATGAATAGAAAGTTTCAGTTGATTGAGCTCGCTGGCTTTCATGCACTCATGTTGTCACCATAGTGCCACAATTCACTCGCAGTGAGTAGCGACTCACGAATACTCAAACGCAACAACAAAGCTGAAACTGTTCCTTGGGGAGCAGAAGGGTGAGCTAAAAGACAGACAGGTACGGGAAGGGATCTTCCTTATTTTGCGCTCCGGTTCTCTTTTAAGCAGATACCGACCCGTCTAGCTAAACATCATGTTGAAACTCTTTCGCGTTACGAATCTTGACGTTCCCTTTCTTTTATTTTCCTATTCTTTCCTCCAAGGTGGTCTCAGCTTATATACGGAAACAGAAGCGACCAGCAGGATGATGAGAGCCTCGAGTCTCTGGAGACGATCATCCGACACGAAACCGTAAGTGTCCACCAACTTATCGTGTTAGGCAGTTTGATCACAAGCAGGCGTCTCGCGTGTGCAGGACGTAAGTGCTATCAATTGACCAAGCGACGCGCGTCAAATGGCGATACATAATGTTATTCAGTAAAGTGTTTCTGGGAAGGCGAACAATTTCACGCGAATTCATAAAGCACCCTCTCGCAATAATCACATCACTGCTGAAGGAACGCTGAAGGAAAATATTAAGTCGACATGGATGGTTGAGGTAGCGTCCCCGAAATTTCGTGGTGCTTATTTCATGCCAATGCTATACCTAATTTCTTTGCAAGCAACCACATTTTAGTGGCCTGCATACCGTAAGCGTAATTCAAGCCTCCCACCTCCGACAAGGGCCTTCTTATGTCGAATATTTGTACTGAGATCCTTTTATGTCATTTGTCGTTTGGTGTCCGAAATTTCTACCATAAATTCGCGAATCATGTCACCTCAGCATTTTTTGTTGCTATAAGCACTCCTGCGTGCAAAATTTACGTTTTCAGGCGTTTCCGAACATTAACCTCTATTTCTAACGTAAAATATTATTTGCCTTTAGCACGAGTAAACATCCGGTAAACCTGGAAACACGGGAAGATAAAATATAATTGACGAGTACTTCGAAGTTCTCGCACCAACTAAACATATCAAATTTCGGCGGCCTCTGTCATGGTCACATATCAGGTCACGGTCAAATTTTAATTCATCTGCGTTTGTAATCAAGCAAGAGAATTCCAATATAAAGCTTCAGGAATTCATTGTTCAGCCAATATGGCCAAAATTCGAGAAAAAAATACAAATAAAATGAAGTTCCGCTGACTCAGGTAATGCAGTTCTGGCCCAAAATTCGTGAATGAAATTTTGACCATTTTTCTTGTAATAACAGACCAATATTTAAAACTCTTACTGACAGTCATGGTATGAAAGAATAATTCATCAGTAGAAAAGAATTTATGATTTCACTTTCTTGTCTTAATAAACTATAGAAATATTTGAGTGATGGAAAGATGGAAGCTTGTGAATAAAAATTTATGAACAGACTGTGTGCTGGAGCTGACGCTCCCACAAACGGACTTGTGGCCTTCAAGGGTGCTACTAGTTATGGGTGTTCTGCAGAGGCTTCGATATGCTTCGCCTGCTCTGGAGGTACTAACTGATACAATCCACAGTAATGCTAATTTACTTTCGTTGTAATTGATATATGAAGTTTAATGTCTCGAAACCACCATTGTTAGTTACTTTCTTTCTAAAGTAAAGATACAAGGCCCACTGCTCATAATATTTCAATTATTATTATGGTCCACTATGTACTAATTTGGCGTAATGTTAAATACCTTCAGAAGAACAACACACAATGGCACACCTCGCAATGCTGCCTGTAAAAGTCTATTTTGCATAATATTCCGAATACTACAGACACTAGCGACGCCAGTTATGAATGTCGAGCGAACTTTGCTTCTGCAAACATAATTACCGATTCTTCGAAATGAAATTTATTGCTAAAATACTTCTCTGTTCTATTTATTGTACAATTTAGATCTTTATTAAACACTATATACCATCTTGCATTTCAGGGTTTGCTCAGCTGGGTGTGGTCGATTTTCCTGATCAAGTGAGTACATGTACACCAATTTGCATTAGTTGTTACATAAAAGCTAACGAGTTTGTACACACATGTATAACTGCATAATTGAACATTACTATATGCTCAATTCTTGCACAAATCGTGACTGGTACACTGCCGCTGTCCCTCAAGTGGAAGTGCAACGTTTACCTTCTCCTGTGCTTCACGCAGTACTGTTCACAAGTGGTAAAGCCTTCATTGTACAGCGCAGTCCAGTTCTTCACGACGTATATTACTTTGATAGGTTCTTGTTCGTCTTATTCGCTGTAGAGTACAACTTACCATTTCTACTAGAAAGAAAAAAGACTGAATACATCCAACTTTTTCAACGACACATATGTTTTCATATCCGGGAAGTGGTACATGATATTGTGTGTAGTATATGGGACACACATTATCGAAGCCAATTTTGAGAGTGGGCTAGTAGGTAATCCGTCTTCAGCAAACAGCGCACGAGCATAACACGACTGTGGGCGTTTTCTTCCAGTGCACTGTTTGTTGAAAGCAAATTGTCGCTAATTAAACTGTGTATATCTGAACACTGCGTATCTGCTTTTTCGCTGTGCTCCGAGTTCTTCCTCGCCATGTGTATGTAAAGGTTTTGGTATCCACTTGCGTGCAAAATGCAGGGATAGACACATCCTCAAGAAGAACGGACCGGACGCCGTGCAGTACCTGACCTTTCAGCGGCACATCATCGTGTTCGTACTCATCGTGTGCCTCCTCTGCGTCGGCCTCATCCTGCCCATACATGTGTTCGGCGACATAGGTGAGCAGGGGGTAATTTATCGGAGCAGTAGTCATTGGTGTGCATACAAACCGGGAAGAGGAAGGCGGAGGGGGGCCACCTCCCAAGTTACGTGAAGGTGTGCCAAGTCTGTTCCATATTTAAAATAAGTTGGACTATTGCCGTGATTGTTTTAGTGCTAGGTTCTGGGCCAAGCAGGTTTCAGTCAATACTGACGGCTGATTTCTATTGTTGTACACAGTATAGTTTCGCATCACCGAATTTTACAATTATGGTTTTTATGTGTTAAGTGTTATTGTTCCGAAGTTCTTGAATACCTCATTTTATGCCTGCCTAAACATTGTCCTCGTCTACGATTCTCAAGACCATTGTTCAGCAATCTGTGCTACCGTAATCGCATGTTTTCGGGGCCTAATATATTGAATCAGTATGTCTTATAGCACAACAGCCACATACAGTACTGTTTTGCCGGTATCAATATATGCCCTTTCTCAATTGTATTTTTCAGTAAATGGACAGCGACTGGTACAAACTTTATGACCAGTGCTTGTTTTCTGCTTTGTGCCCACCACTCACATGCATGTATGGCGAGGCTCGTGAAGCAGAGTAAAAATTCGCTGTTCTAACACGTCATCACGAATTCTTGCGTACAAAGTGAAAAAGACTCCGTTGATTGAATGATTGTTTGATTGTTGAAAAATTACAACAGCGAGAGAAAAAACACTGATGAATGGAGAGCGAACACGAAGAAGCATTGATTGATTGATTGATTGATTGATTGATTGATTGATTGATTGATTGATTGATTGATTGATTGATTGATTGATTTATGTTACATTCTCTGTGCTGTTTCTACTTTTGTCCTCGAAAATCCGGGAAAGAGAGTTCGGCTGTTGTGAGAAGCTTAAGCACGTGCGAGATCGGGGGGCCTATAGTTCTTTAAGATGATTGATTGATTGATTGATTTGTGGGGTTCAACGTCCCAAAACCACCATATGATTATGAGAGACGCCGTAGTGGAGGGCGCCGGAAATTTCGACCACCTGGGGTTCTTTAACGTGCACCCAAATATGAGCACATGGGCCTACAACATTTCCGCCTCCATCGGAAAGGCAGTCGCCGCAGCCGGGATTCGAACCCGCGACTTGCGGATCAGCAGCCAAGTACCTTAGCCACTAGGTCACCGCGGCGGGGCAGAGTTCTTTAAGAGGAGTGCAAAATGTGCCCCTCACATAGACTTAGTAACCTTCGCTTCTCCTCTCCTGATAGGGAGCTATGCACTCGCTTATGCTGACATACTGAGGAAGGCAGCATTTAGGGCTTGCAAGTTTGTCGGGAAATTGCTTTTAGGACAGCGCATAAACAAAGAGGGGCTAAAGCTGCCATAATGAATGAGCTCAAGCATATCTTTGCGTCCATATATTGAATTCTCGTTTCTCCTCGTCTCTTTCTAAACGATACTTCAAACCAGTTCACGTTAAGAGTCATTCATTTCATTTGCATTTCTGCATTCAGTTGCGAATGTGGGGTGGCCCACGGGTATCACAAGAGTATGTTATTTCGCTTCTTTGCAGAAGGAGACGCGAGGAAATTTGTTCATACTACCCTCAACAACATGGATCCAAAGTAAGTATTTTCTCGGGTTTTTTTTTTTAACTTACATTATATGCAAATACGAGAATAATGGTCGTACCAAAACGAGGTAGGATTATCCAAAGTAAGGTAGAAGCTTGAAATGCGAATGTGCGCTCAAGTCGTCATTTTGCCTAGATGACTTGACCTTGTCACAGCAACGTCTTTCTATGGTAGTGTTTTCATGTACGCCTGGCAATTCCGATTCCTAATCGGTGAGAAGGAGCAGAAAAACAGGCCGGAGGCTGCACAGGACGAAAAAGTAGCAAAGCTGCATCGGGCAGCATCTTCCGAAAACGCTTACGATAGCTGCTTCAGGATATGAAAATTGACTATTTTGTGGCTTTCGCAGTCCTTGAGACCGTTATTCGGAATTAAGCCACCGGGTTCACCACTTATGCTGCCGTGCCATCCTCTTTTAAAAGCACATTAATAATGTTCACTGCTACTGTGAAGGAGTCGTGGCAATGGTAGAAGGGATGTGGTTCTGGTACAGGCTCTTTTGTTTTCCTTGCTCGAATTAGTTTTAGTGCCACTTCATTTTCAAAAAAAAAATTGGATTATATATTTTAGGCTGGTCTCGACTAAGTTAGATTACTAGGGATTACTAGGCAGTCCTAGTTGCGGAGGTCACATTTCAGTGAAGGGGAAATGCTATGGAGGCATGTGTACTTAGATTTGGGTGCACGTTTAGAAATTATAGATGCATCGTCGAAATCAGCCGGTGGTTCCACTGCGGCGTCCCTAATTATATTGTCACGTGATTTATCCGAACTTAATTGTGGCCGAGTAACGGAAAGCCAGACTACAGCGAAACACTGCAGAATAATTTAGGGGCACACAGGGCGTCGGCCGTTGATAACCTGATCCGCAGGAAAGCGCGGTGGCATTTATATTTGCCACGTAGAAGGATCGAGCATTATCGCCAGTGGCCACGTTTGTTCTAAAATAAACTCAGCTGTTCGTGTTTGCGCGCTCAAGTTTACGAAATGATGTCAGAATAATCTCGAATAATCTCAGACATTCTAACGCGATTTCCTCGAGGCTCTGTCTACACGTGTGGTGGGCCGGCTTCATGAAACACGGAAAGAAAAAAGCATTTGTGGCAATATCAAGATATTGAAGTATAAAACCTAAACTATGAACAAATCGATATTATTTGCAGGATTGCACACGTTGATAAGCTGCCGCATTTAGAATTGTACTAGAATAATGGTCTTATGAAGAGCTTATAAACGCAAAGCTTGACAACCATAATTTATTTATAAACGACGGACAATATGGGAGAAACATGCAAACGCTGTCTCTATGATTTCCACCATTCAGCGCGTCGAGCCTGTGGGTGCACGTGATCCTCAGTTTCCTGTTTCTGCCGCTGGGCGTACTCTTCATGCGTCACTTCTCGGCCAAGCTGCACATCAGGCCAGAAGAGAGCCGGGTAAGTGTTCCGTAGTTAGGTGCAACACTGTTCAGGTGCCACTGATTACACTATCACAGCGAGTGTACAAAAGTGTACAAGATAATTCAAGAGCTACCTGGGTAGTGCTCTAGGTCCAGGGCACAACTGGCTTTCGCCTACCGGCAGACCTGATCTAGGAGCGCGTATTGAGTTCGCCCGTCAGAGCTGGCGAGATCAGCCTCCCACTGCTCCTTTTTAGATGCGGAAGCATTTCATTGACCGGCTATGTCAGGCGCCCGGCGGTGTCCGCGCGCCGGCAGCTGTTATCCCTCCGCTCTCACTCCCTTCCCCATAGCAACAGCTGTGGCAGCGCGCGCTTACCCTCGCTCCTAGCAACCAGAGCCGGCGGTGTGGGTGGAGTAGCGGAAAGTGAGTGGAGAGGAGGAGCACGCTCTAACGTGCGAGGGCGCTCGCATCGCGGAAGTTTGGTGGAGCTCCTGTGTGTGTGGAGAGAGTGTAGGAGAGGGTAGGTGCAGTGTTCCGCCGCTCCTGCTCTCGTCATTCGCATGCCTCTCTGCGCCCCACTCTCCCATCTACTCACTCGTACGTATATTATTAATAGAGTGAAGCGCGCTCTTCACTCTCCACCGTTCGCTGGCTGATGAGTGTGTAAATAAATAGTTACGGTACATATTTTCGTCTCATCATTAATTTACGCCATACACCGCATACCCTCGGTGCAAGAAATGCATTCGCATTCCCGCACGATGTCTTTCGGGGAGGTGGGGGCAATTTTTTTAAGTTTCTGAAATCATTTAGAGAGAGAGAGAGAGGGAACGAAATGCGGGAAATGCAGGGAGGTTAACCAGAAATTGAAGCATCTGGTTTGCTACCCTGCACTAAGGAAAGGGGGAGTAATTATGGGAAAGAAAGTGAAAGAGCGAAATGGACGCACGAAAGAGAAAAGAAAAAAAAGTGAGCTGGAGCGCTATAGCCTACGCAATAGGCCACTACCAAAAAGTTCAGTAAAGCATTCACTGATTTTCTGTGCTAGATGAAATAGTTTAAAACTGCATCTTAAGTTGCAGGTCTTTGTACGTATCGCCATCAGGTGTGGAAGAGTGATCGCCTACCACCACACCACGGACAGACGCCCTGGCATAGCGTCGGATGGATATTATGCAGTTTCTATCGATTGTGGCACAAAGAGATAGGGCTAAGAAACAAGGCAGTCCGAGATAAGGAAAGTTTGCTGTTTGTATCAAAATATTATACGCGTTTATCATCGTTTTTGAGTGTTCATCGCAGCTGTTTGATACAGAATTTCGATATGCAGGAAGCCATTTTTTGTGAACCCTGAACATTTTTCGTTCGTCACATGCAGGTCAGTCGGACTCTGATGATCGTGGGCGTTCCGCGCAAGAGCTGCCACGCCGATGTTTTTCGGCAGCATTTCAGGTAAGCCCTGGCGTCGTATCCCTACCAGCATGCTTTACGACAAAACTAAGCGAAGTGTACGGGTGCGCGTAAGAGACCTTTTCACCTTTCAATCCAGTTTCTGTCAACTTTTTTCATCTAGAGTCCTTTTGAGTTCACAATTCTTTGTCTCGAATGTTCACATAATAACCTCATATTGAAGAACCAACACTCTCTCCCTCTCCATATATATATATATATATATATATATATATATATATATATATATATATATAATTCACATATAAACACAAAAAAGTGGATGGAGGGAAGGCCGCTGTGGTAGCTCAGTGGTTAGGGCATCGAACGCGTTATTCGAAGGTCGTAGGTTCGTTTCCTGCTCACGGCTGGTTATTTTTTCATCCACTTTTCTTTCTTCTTATTTACATTCCATTGGTTCTAATAACTTCCCCTGTACATTCCTTGGCATTACTGTCTGTTAGATCTCATTAATATTGTGTTAAAACACGGAAAAACGAGCCCTTAGATATCCTCGTATCCGACTTCTTTCCCTAAGTGTATATATATATATATATATATATATATATATATATATAGACATAGCGAGGAAGGAAGCGCACTGGCTCCGTAGTAAAAACGGAAGCGAGAAAGCACGACGTACGAGGAAACACTTTTATTAATCACATACGTTTCGGCTGGTGGGCCAGCCTTCGTCAGTGGGATATATCTATATGTCTATATATATATATATATATATATATATATATATATATATATATATATATATATATATATATATATCACGTGCATCTCGAAACCTCAAGAAGCGTCCTCATATTTCACTACATAACAATCTGTCACACGTATCGGGCCGAAGAATTCCCTCAGTAACGTAACACTTTTTTTTCTTTTACATCGACTTCCCGCTATGTCGGATCAGGGAAGCCTACCCAGAAGTGCGTCATCCAGGACATAAAGTTCGCCTACGACATTCGGGAACTGGTGGTGCTGGACAGCAACAGGTATGTTTCACTGTCGCATGGGCTGCATATCAACCGTGTGTACCGGTAACGCCATCTATTGGGATGTAAATCCCATTGCGAACTAGAGTGGCGTAATGAAGGGCATCGTGACACCTTTCTTGATCCTAGATCACAGAACTACCAAAGAAGTTGTCGACGTGATGTTTATGATGTATCAGTCGAAGTTCGATAATCCCTAATAGGCTGAAAGCCCGCGATGAATCATCAAACGCGAACTACGACTCGGCAGCCACGGCTAAGCCCGACGGGACTGCAAGACATCGTCATGTGTTTGTGTGATCATACTATCACGCGTTTCCAATTTTATGAAAGTCATCACCACGGCATATAGAGTTGCATGGTCAAATGTGTGTCTGCACGACAGTCGTGCAAAACCTTATGAGGTGCAAATGGCTTTCTCACGCTTCCGTTCTCAGAGGCGACGTGAAATATTGTTAGGCGGGTAAAGATTTCGTGGTCGCATTCAGAACAAAACAGGTAGAGCTCGACAGAATACAACCGGCGGCAAAGAAAAAGGTGGACTTCAGCTTCCAGTCATTTTACACGAATGAATAAGAAGCCGCATAAATTTCTGTGTATTGCCACAATGCGTTGGACAAAAACTATGTGCTGGGCTATCTTATAGCCTTCCTTGTGATCGAGCCTACCCGCTTGACTCTCTGGTATTCGATATCATTGCGACCCAAGAAATAGATAAGATATCCTCGTATACGACTTGGAAATTAGTCAGCCGCCATACAGAACATGGTTCTTTTCGCCATCACTGGGCCGTTTATTCAAGGCGTTCAGACGCACATAAGTCTAATCAACTACCGTTAACTCTATTACAGTCTCAGTATACCTCTCTATGTCTCTTTTCTGGCCAACTTGTCACCTATATGACAACACAATCACTAGTGCTTTAGGTGCTATCAGGCGATATTATCATCATGAGGCAGTTCAAGTAGGGACGAACTGCAAATTACGTTAAAGACCTTTTGGGGTCTCATCGTTTGCACCTAAAATTTTTCGGTACACGATGGGTATATTCTCCCGAATTTCGCAGGGAAGTATCGACACAAGCGCGGATGTGGTGCGAGAACCATATCAACGCTACCGGAAAGAGGCCCAAGATGCGTCCCTACCAGTTCAGCCGCCTGTGGATCTTCGGAGACGCATGCGGTTGCAAGATGGTGGGTGTTGCGAGAACAGTTAGCCGTCAGCCGCAGCGTCTCGACTTGGGCACAACACCTGCTATTTTTTTTTTTTTTGCTACCATTGTAAAACAGCACTTTTCAAATAGTTGCACCGTATAACATAAAGTAATGTTGAGCATTCTACGGATTACCTTAAACTATAAGCACTCTAGCTCGTGTTTTTGGCAATTTTGGGGCAGTTTGCGGAATTCGATGTTTACTGTTCGAGCGTTTCTGCTAGTGCAGGTGCAGTTCGGAAAGAACTTCGCACAAAGATGCCAGCTTTAAATCATAAACGTGCTACTAAGCAACGTTGGCAGCAAGGAGGACCACGGTGTTTCTGCGGCTTCGTAGTCGGGCAAACCACGGAATGTCATTACCGAAGCTTCTGTGGCAAACTATATATATATATATATATATATATATATATATATATATATATATATATATATATATATATATATATATATATATATATATATATCCACCGTCTTTTCTTTCTTCTTATTTACATTCCATTTGCTCTAATAACTTCCCCTATACATTCCTTGTCATAATATTGTGATAATATAATAAAACACGGAAAAACGAGCCCTTAGGTACACACTTCTTTCCCTTATATATATATATATATATATATATATATATATCAGTGTTGACAGTGGTTCTTCCTCTTTTTTACTTTCTTTTTTTAGTTCTCTCTCACTCTCGCAAACATCTTTCAAGGCGATAGGGACGCGGCAGCAACGAAGTTTTGAAGTTCATGTTAGTATAACTCATCCCCTGATGAAGAGAGGACCCCTCCCGAGACTGTTGGGAAACAAATAAATTTATCCTTGTTGACAACGCTCCCGTTGTGCCATATCCCATACCTTCACGATTACCGAAGCTCCTTTTATATATATATATATATATATATATATATATATATATATAATATATATATATATATAATATATATATATATATAATATATATATATATATATATATATATATATATATATATATATATATATATATATATATATATTGTGTACAGATATTCCGTGAATGAACACTGTCAAATGCAATGCGCTCGAACTTTGCGGAACATAGCTGTGTGTAATGACACCAGCCTCTACGGCTGTAGCATTCGTTTTTGGTTGGTACTCTTTCGTGACGGCAGGTGGACGCCTTGGACTACTACTCCCGCGAGGAGAGCGAGTACCTGCGCGAGGTGGAGAAGGAGCGAGCCAACGCCCTCGAGCGGCCCGTCGGTTTCGTGTTCGTCACCTTCGAGACCGAGGAGATGGCCATGATGTACGCGCGCACTTCTTGAACCGACAGCTTCGTTTAAGCTACACCCGGGAGCATAAGTATACGCACCGCGCGAGCACGTACAGAAATTGCTGTCTGCGCCGTCTTGTGGCGAGTCGTCTGCTGTCGAGGGCAGCAGACGCAATTTTCCCGACAGCAGACGACTCGCTATGACACGTAGACGAGTGCGATTTCATGATGTGCTCGCCTGGTCCGTATACTTTTGCTCACGGCTGTACACTGAGCTAGTACGCGCAAAGACGCGCAAATGAGGCGAAAATGGAAAATACGCCAGGTTTTGAGGGCCTTCATGTAAGCGGCGCGTAAACGTACTCAGACGGCTTAGACATTTAGGAGGGCTTCATTGAAATGTTGGTGATACATCTTGATGGAGACTGATGAACAAAAAAATATGGACACGAAAGGAACACCGATGGACGGACGAAGCGTCTGTCCATTCGGGCTCCTCCTTGTGCTCCTGTCTTTTCTCCGCATCAGTCCGCATTAGGGCTGTACAAAACACGTAACTATGTATCACTGCCTACGAATACAAAGTTCAGCCACAAAAAGAAAGACTTGAACATAGACGATTGTTTAAAAGACTTATTTGCAGCTCGCGTAATGAACAAGCACGTTAACACTAGTAAGGAATCGCATAATGATTACACGCGCAACATTGGACCTAACAGCGGAGACACTTCAACAATGAAGGATTCATTAATATGTCGTGGGTCGGTGCTTGTCATTCATTCATGTTGTGTATCCATGGAACATAAAAAAAGATCTCCTGCCCATCAATTCTTGCCTTCACGAGCTTACTTGTCGCCATTGTCTTTTTAAGCACGCTTTATTATTCGGCGGAAAGTTGTATATGTATCCGTAAACACCGTCCAGGGTCTGCAAGGACTACCGATCGCAGTGCCAGTGCTACGCCACGACGCCTTCCTCAAGCGTGAGCAAAGAGCTCAAGTCCAACTCCTGGAAGGTCGTCTTTGCTCCACCTCCCAGCGACATTTTCTGGTGAGGCGTGCGTGTTGAATAGATAGTTTACGTAGTAAACGCACCCCATATGAAAGGGACTCGATAGACTTTGGTGGAACGCGTACGTAATAATTCTATGGAAAGGAATTCAGTGCGCACTCGCTCGCGTTGGTGGTCATACGCGTACGCATAGAGCTGGTAGGTTGTGGCCTCCCCTCCCCTAGTTACCTAAGATGGGGAGGGCGCAGAATCTTCCCAATACATTGACTTATCATGGAAGGGGAGGCACTGCGACGAACAAACCTTTGTACCCCCCCGCCCCCCCGCTCGAAAGGGAACCTGACGCACGTCTAAATTAGTCGTGATACAGAATGAAGCTTTTCGCGCACGACGGACATGCTCGAAAGAAGCCAGGACTATAGTGCATTGTTGTCGTCACTTTCTTCGCCCATGTCATTCAATGTGCACTACGAGATCTCGTCTATCTGTGAGAACTTTTTCCTGGTTGAGTTGGTGCATAAGTTTGTGGACCACGTCATTTTGGCGCAATGCCTGGAACATGACGGGAACATGAACACGTCTTTCTTCCTTTAACTTCTTCACGTTCCAAACAATGCGCCAGAAAAACATGCTCAGCAAATCGTCGGTCCGTATCGCTTTCTTACCCTCACTATCTGGCGTACGCTTACTGTGGATTTCGTGAATTCTTCCTCCCGTCATGGCATACGGCATTTTCATGCGCCACATTCTAATACCAACGCTGATCTCACACATGCTTTACATCTGCAGGGAAAACCTGTCCATCGGCAAGTGGGCCTGGTACATTCGTTCCTTCTTCATCAACTTCGTGCTCTTCCTTATCCTCTTCTTTCTAACTACACCGTTCATCATCTGTGTCAAACCTGGAACACATATTCCCCTCAGCTGAGCACCTGGCAAGTCTGCATCTGAATGCATCTATGTTCCTTCACAGTGCTCTACACCTTTCAGCGAAAGTTATAGGCTACATAAGCACGTGCCTAAACTGCCAGTCTGCTCCATCTGGTGGCGAACCGTCTGCTGTCGATATCATTGCTCTGGCGAGCCGCAGCTATGCTCTCGACACAAAACAGCTCGACACTAGACGGCACAGCCAGCAATTTTGATACGCTTCCGTGGCCGATGTACTTGTGTTCTCGGTTATACATTCCACTGAAAAAAGTCCGACTGCGAGAAGCGTTTTCTTCGTAAATGCTATGTACCATTGGTTTCCCAGGCTCCAGGATTGGGATCACAAAAGGTCTGGCTCATTTCTTGTGAACTATTCAAGTGTCAGAACTTATGAAAAATGCGGATTCGCGAACTTGGATGGTGATGAAATTCTGAGCAATCGACGGATTCGGCGTGCTATGTAAGGTGAACTATAAGCTTGACTTAGTGGCGTAAACATACAAATATGGTACTGTGCAGATGTCCTTTCAGTGTACATTTAAGTAATAGTATAGGAGAACGCAGAACACTTCGCGATCATTCGGTAAGTTGCCACAGAAAAAGCATGGCATTGAACGCAACATCTTTTTAATATCGACAGAGGTTGAAATTCAGCCAAGGCATCACGAAATTCACAGACAAGGGGTTGTTAGTGGCAGGTAAGCGACGATAACGTGTACCTGCCAGTACTGCAACTACTACTACACATCTAATAACATCACCCTCACAATTAAACCATTACTCTTGCAACACATACTACGTAAACTGAGTCTACTATTTCGGACAGAGCTTCTGTGACTTTTGCCGAATGTGCACCTTTAACCGCAATGACTGGTCGGTGTATGTCTCTCCTGTGGTATACACCGAAGTTCCCTAACAAACGACGTCCTAAGCAGAATTTTGTGAGACTGCTGAAACTATAATACGAGACATCTGTTTCGTTTGGTTCTGCAGAACCCGTTCTTGTCAAAGTTCCTGCCGACCATGATGCTATGGCTTGTCGCCGCCGCGATGCCGGCCATGGTCACGATGTCTGACGTTTTTATCGCCCACTGGACCAGGCAAGTACCAGTTAACTTTTTATTGTGTGCTTGAACATTCTTGCGAAACAGAAACTATGACACCACTGGCGTTGGAAATACTGCCACGATGCTGTTGTACAAAGATGGTGCCTGGCAGATCTTGTAGTACATTTTCTTTTTTGCAGGTCGTCAAGGAACCACTGGGTCATGAGGAAAATCTTTATCTTCCTCTTGTTCATGGTGCTGATTTTGCCTTCGCTTGGTCTGCCCAGGTAAATCATGAAGTTGAAAGCGTGCAGATGCGTCTGTGCACGTCAGTAGGCCTAATTTATATAATCATCTCGTTTTTCACAGTGCTGAAGTACTGGTTTCCTGGGTACTGAAGCCGACCAATGAAACGCACTTGTGGAAGTGAGTATGATGTCCTTTAGCTTAAACCGCAGAGAAAGAAAACACTACGACGAATCAATGCAGCTTCGTATCACTTACTTGCATTTCTTGTCTTCGCGTCGTATGTATGAGAATTAAACGCAAAATTCAACACGTAATCTCGCGGTCGCTGTCTTAAGTGCTTCAGTTTTAGTTAACTGTGTGCCTTTTTCCTTACGGAGACTAGAATACAAACAAATTTGTTCGAGACTGTGACTATCGCAGGTAATCTGCTGGTTACAAATCCTAGAAGCGGTGCATCCTTCCGGGAAACAAGACGTGAAAGAAACAACTGCGGTCTTCACGTGATTTTGTTGACGATCACGTATACTCCCCAAATATTTCACGGGACCAATATGATTCAAGTCGTTGATCATTCATGGCATGATTTGGCGCAGATGCGTGTAGCGGAACACGCTGACTAAAGAGACGTCCACTATTTCTTGGTCAGTGCTGTATAGACACGCAGCTAGAGCAGCGAAAAGAGCGGTTTTTCATTTAGGCAATAAGCTTCTTAGTAATTAGCAATGTTTTCATAAGATTATAATAAATACTAGAACACTCTTAATGCATCCTCCAACATACGCTGTGCACACGCTGGGTAGTTTAGTGAAGTTAAACACGTTGAAGCGAAACAGCGTGTTTATTTCATTTTATTTCATTTAATGCTTCTTCGGTACTCTGTCTGAAACGATTCTCTCGTGTTTCGTCTATCTGGCTTTCGCGAATCGATTATTCCTGCTATTTCACTGCGCAGGTGCCTGTACCTTCCAGACAGCGGCGCTTTCTTCATCAACTACGTCGTGACGTCATCCTTCGTCGGCACCACGATGGAGCTGATTCGATTCCCGCAGCTGTGCCTCTTCATTCTTTACACGTTTATGTCGCGCTCCAAGGCTGAAACATTCGCAGTGCAGCGGGTGAGCTCCATACACTTCTTGAATTAGACAACAGTAGACGGTACGCAGTTGCACCAAGTGCGAATCTGCATCTTCTCTTGATGGAAAATAATCAGCCCATAAGATAAGGGAATTCGTAGGCACAGTGCTGAGTGATAAGTTCAACATATTGTGAACCATATACAGTTCCTCATTCTGTCATCGTGTACTAATGCGCTCATTTTAGGGTGGGACTTTCTCTCCTCAGCTTCAGCCGTAATATCTTGCCGTCAGAGGGTCATTCGCATGTCAGATACTGCGCTTTCGTCGGATAAAGATGCTCATAGCCAGTGCTTCGTCACCGCTGATGACTGTTTTATTCCTCCAGGTAATGAGCATATTCTGACTCTGACATCAGATAAGATCAGTACAGGTGATGTGTTCCTGGCACCTTGTGGACGCTACATCTCTGGTGGGCTTACCATCGCTCCTAGCCTGGTGCGCTTTCATGATGGCAGAGCATTAGTTACGGCACTTAACCCTACTTCTTTGCCTGTCGCACTGCCCCAGGGCACCAGTGTGGTTTGCTTCACAGATACCGAACCACTTTCTTTGGTGCCCCTTCACGCAGACGCTCCATCTTTCTCTACGTGTAGTGATGACGATGCTACAACGGCTGCTTTAACAGCCACAATAAATCCCGATCTCACGTCAGCGCAAAAACAAGAACTTTTTGGTATCCTTCAAAAACACAGTGCTTCATTTGATGTCAATTCCAAGCTTTTGGGTCGCACTTCCGTCGCCGTACATCGAATTGAAACGGAAGGTAATACAATTGTACGCCGCCGCCCATATCAAGTGTCATCCGCAGAGCGGAAAATAATCGAGAACAACGTTGCTGATATGCTCAAACTAGATGTTATCCGGCCTTCGTCCAGCCCGTGGTCATCACCTGTAGTGCTAGTCCGAAAGAAGGATGGTTCGGTGCGATTCTGCGTCGATTATCGAGCACTTAACAAGATCACGTGCAAAGACGTGTACCCGATCCCGCGAGTCGACGACGCACTTTCCTCTCTGCAAGGCGCTGAATTTTTCTCCAGCCTCGATCTACGGTCTGGTTATTGGCAAATACCTATGCACAAAGCGGACAAAAAAAACTGCCTTTGCAACACCAGACGGGCTGTATGAATTCAACGTGATGCCATTCGGTTTATGTAATGCTCCTGCCACGTTTGAACGCATGATTGACACAGTTCTACGCGGCCTAAAATGAAAAACATGTCTCTCTTATCTAGATGACATCGTCATTTTCTCCTCTTCTTTTCGTCAGCATCTTGATTGTTTAGACGAAGTTTTGACGTGTACTTCTAATGCTGGACTTCAGCTAAACACCAAGAAATGCCACTTCACCAACAAGAACATCAAGGTGTTGGGCCACCTTGTCAGCAAAGATGGCGTTCGCCCGGATTCTGACAAGCTTGCTGCCGTGATACGTTTCCCTCGGCCAGATAATCAGAAACACCTACGAAGTTTCCTGGGCCTGGCGTCCTACTTCCGCCGCTTCATTAGTCATTTTGCTGCCATCGCGTCGCCACTGCATAAGCTGCTGACATCCGGATCAACTTTCGCTTGGAACGACGACTGCGAGCGTGCCTTTCAAGCCCGCAAGCATGCTTTAACATCAGACCCTGTTCTGTGTCATTTCGACAAGAACGCACCTAGATGTCTCCACACCGACGTGAGTGGCCAAGGCATTGGTGCAGTGTTTCTACAGCGGGATGCCACTTCACGGGAAAAAGTTATTGCGTATGCTAGTCGTGCTCTTGCGGCTGCTGAACAAAACTACTCCATAACTGAGCAGGAGTGCCTTGCTGTCGTCTGGGCCATACAAAAATTTCGACCATATCTTTACGGACGCCACTTCACAATTATTACAGACCAGCACGCCTTGTTCTGGCTATCGTCACTGAAAAACTTGTCTGGTCGCCTCGGTCGTTGGGTGCTCCGCCTACAAGAGTACGATTTTGACGTCATCTATAAGTCTGGCAAAAGACACCAAGATGCAGATGCTCTCTCTCGCTGCCCCCTTCCACTGTCACCATCGAGTACGTCAGGTGATTGCTCGTCTGGTGGGCAAAACACTGCGTCACCCCTCACATTATCACACCTTGCGGTTATCGACACGCCAGCTTCAAATCGCTACACCAAGTTCGCCACACGCCAGCGTGATGACCCATATTGCAATAGCATTATTCAACGCCTAAATGGTATATCACCTACTCCTAATGCTAGATTGCGCCGACAACTACGGCAATTTAAGCTCGATAACAATGTGCTCCATCGTTACGTTTACACTACTGATGGACACCGCTGGGTTCCAGTACTTCCGCGTTCTCTACGTCACCAAGTCCTCGGAGCCTTTCACGACGACCCATGTGTAGGCCACTTGGGATTTCACAAAACACAAAGCCGCATCAGGAAACGTTTCTTCTGGCCTGGCATCTCTACTTTTGTGGCCACGTACGTTGCATCTTGCCATCTGTGTCAACGGCGGAAGCGACCAACTTCGTCTCCTGCTGGCCTTCTGCAACCCATCCCGTGCCCCAAGACACCTTTCGCCATCGTTGGCATACACCTACTAGGACCTCTCCCCATCACGCCAGCAGGTAATCGTTGGATTGTGACTGCTGTCGATTACCTGACACGGTACGCAGAGACTGCTGCACTACGCACAAGTTCTGCTTCAGACGTCGCAGACTTCTTTCTCAACGCCATTGTATTGCGTCACGGTGCACCTCGCGTCCTCCTGAGTGATCGCGGCAAGACGTTCCTGTCTACCATAATCGAAACCCTGCTCACAACCTGTGGTACAGTGCATAAGACGACGTCAGCCTACCACCCCCAAACTAATGGGCTGACAGAGAGATTTCATCGGACACTAATAGACATGCTATCGATGTACATCGCACCAAACCACGACAACTGGGATACAATTTTGCCTTTTGTGACGTTTGCCCATAACACCGCTGTTCAAAGAACTACTGGCTACTCGCCTTTCTACCTCGTGTACGGCCGTACATCGACATGCACCATCGACGTCTCTTTTCTAAATGTTCCAACCGACTGCTCGGCAACCGTATTAGAGCAGTTCATCACAAGGCTCGAGCAATGTCGGCAACGGGCTCACCTTAATGCAGAAGGCAATCAGCAAGTTCGCAAGCAACGCTACGACAGCTCTCATCGCGACGTCTCCTTCAGTCCGGGGGATGAAGTATTGCTTTGGACGCCCATTCATACTCCAGGATTGTGCGATAAATTTCAGTCACGCTTCATTGGACCCTATACAATCAACGAACAAACGTCACCAGTGAACTACCGTGCCACTCCCAGCGACCTTTCTTCGGATCGTCGCTGTCGTGGTTCGGAGATTGTCCACGTATCGCGTCTGAAGCCATTCGTTCGACGTTCCGTTTCCGTCTAAGACGCGTCCGGGCTGGCCGCTCAAGCGTGGGGGGGGGGGAAATAAGTGTGAGCATTATTCATGCGCGTCATCTTGTCTGATGTACATACTCATCATCATCAGTCTGACCTGTGTTGTGGGGCAGAGGCTAGGCAAGTAAAAGAAGTGTCTTGCAGCAAAAACGTTGTCTTACAATATTTGCAATGGCTATGAAAATGGTGGCGTTCATTGACATCACCTCATGATTTATTGACTATATTGACAATTTTCGCGAGCGTTTTAACATTCGAGAACGACGACATCACCATGGGGGATGCCGTAGTGGAGGACTTAGAAAATTTTGACAATCTGAGCATCTTGAAAATGCTTATATACCTAACCACATGGGCCTCGAACATTCTCTCCTCGCCATTCAACAAGCGACCGCCGTAGGCCGAGATTCGACGGCGCTATATATTACTGGTCAGCCGGCGAGCATCGAAATCATTAGACCACCGTGGCGGGTCACTATACGTTTCTCCGCCGCACAACAACTACATGAGCAAATCATTCCGCGGACGTCACAAAATCAGTAGCGCTGATTTCAGGAGCGAAGCAGTTTAGAGCCTCGGCCTGTATCTGTGACATTCTGTCATCACATCCACGTGTCATGTAGTCGTCATGGTCCATCATTAACGGGTATGTGCAGCAAAACGGCTGATTCTGACTGCTCCCCACCGGTCCAAAATATGCATATTATGGGTTCAAGAAATGGTCGTTACTGCCTCAAACATTGTTTGCCTTAGTAGCGGTGTCGGGATCCCCGCCAAAATTTACCAAGGCGCTCATGTTTCTCATCCAAAACCAGAGACTCAAACGTGAGCCTTTCTGGTGAAATTATCGGTTCCGAACTTCTTTCAACATATCTGCCAAATGCGTTGAATTACAGGTTTTCTATAAGTAAACAAGGCAACAGCTAGTCCAATAGCCGATGACGTTAGCGGAGCTAAAACATGCCGTAAGGAAACGGAACCGGGCTCGTATACGGAAGCAGTACCTTGGATAACCTGCATTGCGACAAAGCTTCATACGGGCTCGTTTGCAGGCTTAGCACCACAAGCTCCTCAGCAGACAAATCTTCCTCATAAAAAAAAATGGTGAATGGGTTCGGTCAGACCTTTCTCGTCTTGTGTCTCTAATTGCCCATCAGCGGCAATTTTACTGCAGCTTACATCTGCGCACACTGCTGGGTTTGTCCCTCTTTGGCTTTCGGGTTTGTGGGGGTGAAACGTCATTCCCCACATGCTTCGTCCTTCCCCAGTTTGTGCAGAACAGACTTTATCAGAGTTAGTGGGGTGTCGCGGCCCTTAGGTATACGCGGCCCATCACGCTGTTCCTTCCGCGTCTTTCACCGCCGCAGCAGGGGCGTAGTAGAATTTTCTTCGGCGGAGGGGGGGGACGGGGGACATTTTGATCTGAAAGTGGCGGGGGCAAAATGGTATGGTTTAAGCAAGCTTTTTTGCTCTGTATGCTATGGAGGAAGAATCACGGGAGGGCACGGGCACGATGTGCCCCTCCGTGGCTATGCCACAGCGCCATAGGTTCACTTTTGTTTCTTTTCTTTAACTTCATCTTCTAGCGTCACATTTATTAACAAGTAGCCTATATCTAGCAGATTTAGTTCTTCAAATACTGTCTACTCCTTGTTTCAGCAGAGTGACTTGTGTGGTGAGTTGGTTCATTCTTAAAGTATTGCTTATGGCGCGAAAAAAAAAAAAACACGAGAGAAGGACAAGCGCAAACTATCAACTAAATTTATTCGAAAAAGTGCACACATATATACACAGGTCAACAAAGTCACAAGTCATATTAGCAGAAAATAAATCCTTTTAGTGGCAAACACTCAAGGAATCTATCTCGGTGGCATGTAACGCAATTCAGGGCATCGTCACGCATGTGTCGCCTAATCTACTATAAAATATGTCTCCTGTATTTCTCGTGCAGTTTTTCCTTTAATTATTGCGAGCAGCCTGGACTCTGATAGCAAGGGTGCGCAGCCGCACTCCCTGCAGTGTAACAAAAGATTTGAACAAGGTGTTCCCCTCAAAGACGCCTTATGGTCTAACAATCTACTGTTTACACAACGTCCGGTCTGCCCGACGTAGCATTTTCCGCAAGATAGTGATGTATCATAAACTACCTTCTTGGCCCTATCGGCCAGTTTATCACGGTGCTTGATGCCGCACCCATGGATTCGATTGCTCTATCTAGATATTTTCTTACTCACAGCCGCACAAATCCCGCCAAGCTTGTCTGCTGCAGAAAAAACCACGTTACATCCGAACCTGTCCCCAACTTTCTTCAGCTTAAGGGAAACCTCGTGAGCATATGGAATGCTTACAAAAGGAGCCTCTTCCTTCCATTTTACTCTGCTTATACCCCGCGCTTCCAACTTCTACCTTTGCAAGACCATTTTGCTTAGGACCGCTAATTGGCGTTCTGAAAGCCTAGACTGCCGAAGCCTCTGTATCTGTCGTGCAAAACAAACTCTCTTGCATGCGGTGTGGGCACAGCTTCTTGAGTGACGCTCCCAGACAGGCCATCGCAACACCGTTCTTTGCTATTTTAGAAATACCCGAACGGAAGTCGACGATAGGTTTGATACTACGGGGGGCGTACATCCAACATACGTGGCTTCCACCGAAAGATATGTTCAAAAATTCAGAACTGCGTGCAACCCTTCTTGGGAACCTCACAGGTAACCTTCAGCATCGACCCCAACTCATTGAAAACCTTCGAAACGTCGGTGCTAGTGCATACACACCGACAGGCCTCAACAAAAAGCATGTAATCGTTCACGTATCTGAAGGTTTTCGCCGCCGCTGAGTCCAATGCAGTCTCTAGGCCACGGTCAACTACACTCAAATATATTTCACTCAAAACTGGCGCGACCCTCGACCCAATGCAGGCCCCCGACCTACGAGTGTAAAATCACCCGTTCCAATCAATAGCAGTTGACCCCAGATGCACCGACAGGAGCTCAAGGAGGGAACTCGTAGATGCACCGCACCTGTCCTGAACTGCTTGTTTTTTTAGTATTATGTTTTTATCAACGATGTTATAGAAAATTTGTCGTGTTTAGAACACTTTTTGACAATTTAGAACAATGTACTCTACTATGGGTAGAGCATCAAGCTATCCCTGCAAGGAGAGCTCGAAGTTTGAGATTGACGGATGCCAAAAAACAGTACAATGCTGGTTCAAACGGTTGTCTCAACGGTGTTTTAACCGATGCAAGTAAAAACCAATATACGAAGTAACCCCGCAGGCGCACCGGTAGCTAACTTCCTTCACTGGCACGATGTGCTGTAAATTGAGCACCATGTTTGAATATCCTGAAGTCAACGCAGGTATGTCACAAATAGCACAGTTCCATTAAATATTCAAGCGCCTCTTCGGCCGCTTTATCAACGTGTTTAGTATATATAACGCATCCGTGTTCTGGTCGGCCTCTTATCACCAAAGTTTCATTTATCGTTGCAGCAGCTCCGAATTCAGTCCACATCTGTGGTCTCGCCAAACATTCTTTCCGCTATCTGTTGAAGGTTCGTCCTCATGCGGCCTCCGAGATAAGCTCCGGCAGCGCAATGGCACTCTGCCTGTTGCCGATTGCTGGGGACACAGTTCATGTACACGATCGTGCAGTTGTCCAGGGTGCTCCAATTTTGTAGCCCGCAAGGAACCTTGCTAATCTCCATTAAGTGTCACGGAAACCTCCCCACTCCCCATCGCTTTCGTGCAAGCATTGCTCATTCGGTTCATCGTATATTGTCGTGCCATAAATTCAGAAGGAAGGTTATATAACAGGTTGATTCATTGACGTGCAACAGAACTCGTTTTCCGTGCAGCAACCAATCCATACGACGTTTAGTAACACAATGTACAAGCCGCATGCCGGCCGCTGGATGGAGCCAACTTCTGTACTTAGATTTTAAATAGGTTATTGTCAAGAATGCCTGCTCACAAGAATACATGTTTTTGAAAACAGCGGCAGCATGTCCACTACTTTACCTTCCGCACCCATCTTCAATTGGAGGAGTGCACATGGGGATAGTATAGGGCATTCGAGATTTAAGTGCAACAGCTTAACTACCCGGCCCTTTTTCAGAGTCTGACTAGCTATAAGCTGCTTGCAAAATTTATTGCACAACTCACGCGCTTCTGTTATGCACTGGTATATGCTTATTGACACTCGGGTGAGGCCCCTTATATTGATCGCACCGCTGATTCGCTATTTAAACGACATGGTGAGTGCGGAACCAGGAAAAATTTATCATTGGTTCAAAGAACCCAGAGGAGGGGCCTGCGGAGCCCACTTTAAAAAACAACTCAGTGTAGACGGCTACGGGATGCAGCGCGTAGACAGGATTACCGCTGAGCAATAAGGATAACTAACTGGATTCCCAGAGAAGGCAAGAGGGTTAGGGGGAGACAGAGGGTTAGGTGGCCAGATGAGATTAAGAAGTTTGCGGGTGAAAATTGGCAGCAGCAAGCACAGGACCGGGTTAACTGGCGGAACATGGGAGGGGCCTTTGTCCTGCAGTGGACGTAGTCAGGCTGATCATGATGGTGATGGTGGTGGTGGTGATGACGACGACGATGATGATGATGATGCTGATTATTATTATTATTATTATTATTATTATTATTATTATTATTATTATTATTATTATTATTATTATTATTATTATTATTATTATTATTATTATTATTATTATTATTATTATTATTATTATTATTATTATTATTATTATGATAGACGGCTAGACAAGTACAAGCTCCGTACTAAGTGCGGCACGCAAGCCTTTCATCTCTGCTTGCAAGATAGTCACGTTAGGTAGTTTTCTGTTTAACCGTCAACGCGTTTTGGCTGCGCACCCAGAAACAACGCGTACTGAAAATTGAAACTCTGTTGTCCGTACCTAAAATACGTTTGGCTGAGTGGTGGTGTCGGAATCTTTGCTAAAATTTCGCAAGAAGTAGCACTTATTTTAATACCAGCGAGAGGTGCTTGACGCAATAGAAATTACACGAGAAAACGTGACTGGATACCGGTTACAGCCTAAGGCTAATGTCTTAGGCTGTAACCGGCTATAATATTATGGCCTTATGATAACGGTGCTTCTACGTTTCAACAGTGGCACTATCTAAGCCTTTTGTAGCGGTGCAAGCACAATTAATCATCATTACTAATAGGCGCGCACTTTTTTAACCCTCTCGTTTTTCTATGCGTTATCTTTTATTACGCATGCAGGCATCACTGTTCGAGTTTCACTTCGGCGTCCATTACGCGTGGTACCTGCTGATATTCGCGATCACCATGATCTACAGCCTATCCTGCCCACTCATCGTGCCCTTCGGTGAGTGCAAAAAAAAAACAGCTTCAATCATCGCCACGTTCGCTAGGTTTTAATCCGAAATGTTTTTTTATTTTATTTTGCCTAGTCGGAGTGCGAAAGCCACCGGTCCATGCACCTCGTATCATTCGTGCGTTGTGGCTGAGCAAGTGGTTTCGTAAACATGGACTGACAGGAGCCAATCAAGTGCCGCGAGCTCTTTTCTCGGGCAGCGGTTATGAACCAATGACTGAAATTGATTTGATTTGTGTGGTTTAACGTCCCAAAACCACGATATGATTATGAGAGACGCCGTAGTGGAGGGCTCCGGAAATTCCGACCACCTGGGGTTCTTTAACGAGCGCCCAAATCTGAGCACACGGGCCTACAACATTTCCGCCTCCATCGGAAACGCAGCCGCCGCCGCCGGGATTCGATCCCGCGACCTGCGGGTCAGCAGCCGAGTACCTTAGCCACTAGACCACCGCAATCACTGAAATAAAAGGCGTAACTAACCGTAATTTTGAGCTGAACTGAAACCGAGCCAAGATTCTGCGGTATTTACTCTGTGCGGTGGGGGAGTGGAGGGGAAAGGGCGCGGCCTTGCTCGCAGCGATTGCAAGCTTGGAGCGGCGGCGCGCGATCTATGCCATCAGACATTTGGCTCCTACATGCGCACCTGCCGCTTACTACACGTTTAGCAAACTGTCAGTTTACTACCACACAAGCTAACACCACTTATGTTCATGGCGTTTGGAGAGCCGTTACGTACCAACTGACCTCGATTTCGACCTTTATACATGCGACCCTTCGTTTATCGATCTTGCAGGTCTGATCTACCTCTGCTTCAAGCACAGCGTGGACCGCTACAACATCTATTTCGTGTACACTCCGTCGAAGACGAACAAATACATCCACGCGACGGCCATCGATTTCGTCGTAGGCTCCCTGATTTTGCTGCAATTTACGCTCGCCATATTCTTCTACCTAAGGACCGGTGCGTTCTTCGCCTAATTGGTGCCTAATTGCACGTTAATTTCACACCTTCTTTAGGTCTATTTTCGAAGCCGTCTCACGCAATCTATTATAATTTGTTTCCTAATGAACAGAGACATTCGCAATATTGTTGACTAGATGAGGTGGAATGTTTTCGAGTAACAAAATATTTAACAGAAACTTCCTAAATTTTATAGCTTTAAAGAAGTCAGCGCGCAGTCCCACCTGTCGTGCTTTGTGAATAAACTCATGCCGCCAAAAGCACGCACAGCTGGGAATAGCTCTGCCGAATCTTGTATTCGCACAGCAATGGTATATTTATTAGAACGCAAGTGTTATTTTCTAAGGCAACCCCTCTCCATAAGAAGGCCTGCTCTCTTCGCTCTTCGTAGCTGCCGTTGACTGCTAGCACAGACCGTGCCATCGGCCAATAGATGAGTTGTAAAAAAAAAAAGAATGCGTTATAGCGTCATCTGAACGTATGTGCGGGAAGTAGCCAACGTCCACCATGGTGCATGAGCAGTTCCGTGCGTTTTTGCCGGACATGCATACCACCCAGATCATACAAATTGCTCGCATTGTAACGAAACGCTTATTTTACGTTCATACGTCTTTTCACACACTCAAGCGCCGCGCGTGTTCTTTTCACACGAAAGTTTTTTATGCCGGGGTCCACCACGGCTCCGCTGACGTACTTCTGTCACGGAAGTGACGTTGAAAATATATAATATGAGATTTTTAAAGAAAACATTGGTCTCAAATCTGCATGTTACACCGCAAATATCGTCGAAAGACGATATTCTTGCGTCTGGAGAGAGTGAACAAAACGTTTATTTGGTGTTCTGTGCAAGAAAATCGGTGAAAGGTATTCTGGAGGCGCTGCGTTAGAGTGCCTGGAGCGTGTAGCGGAGTCGAACGAGTACATCGAGGCACGTTAGACACAAGCGCCATCTGGCAGTTATCTTCGAAAACGAAAGCGTGCAGCCCGCAGAGAAAGATGCACGCCAGTCTCGGAGGTGATAAGGTGTAGAACGCAGAGCGAAGGGCACATGCCACCACCGTGACGTCGTAGCAAAGCGTTGGAAACACCTTTCTGAGCATCGCGTTGCACTGTCGGCGCAGCGCGATAAACGCTACATTCCTTAGAGTTACTTGTGTGGCCCCGCCGCGGTGGTCTAGTGGCTAAGGTACTCGGCTGCTGACCCGCAGGTCGCGGGTTCGAATCCCGGCTGCGGCGGCTGCATTTCCGATGGAGGCGGAAATGTTGTAGGCCCGTGTGCTCAGATTTGGGTGCACGTTAAAGAACCCCAGGTGGTCAAAATTTCCGGAGCCCTCCACTACGGCGTCTCTCATAATCATATGGTGGTTTTGGGACGTTAAACCCCACATATCAATCAATGAGTTACTTGTGTGTGCCTCTTCTTGTATAAAGGCAGACATACAAAACATCGAAGCGTTGTTGTGGCACCTCAGATATGCTCAATAATTGCTTTTTAATTACCAATCGAACAGCTATGAACGCAAAACCTTGGGCAATATTGGTGGGCGCTGCGGATGGGGTTGGCCGTCTGCTGCCGTTTGAGGTATCATTAGGGCGGACAATCAGACAAATGTACATACAGACAAACAGACAGACAGACCAAAATTTTTTCGTTGAAGGTCCCCAAGAAAGACTGTAGCCTTTAAAATACCAGGAGGCAAGCATTCTCGTGGGGAATCGAACCTGCAACCTCTGGATTCTCAGTGCGCGGCGCTCACCACTACGCTACGTTAGGGAGCCTTCATACACACGGCCTCCCACCCGGTCTTAGGGTGGTGACATCTTCAACGGCACAGCCGCTGGTAGCCGCCAGATTCGGCCGGCAATCCAGTAGCCACCCATAGTCGTCACCCACTTCTGCGGGCCGCCATGTTGTTTCTCACTTGCGGGTCGGCGGCCGTGATATGCCCGTGAAAATTTCGGTTATCATGCAGAGCTAACATACAGCACTATTTTCAACATTGTGAGCGTAATGCCGTGAGTCTTCGCGGCCGTTTTACTGGGGATTTCTCACGTGTATAAGAGCGTTATCTAATCGCGCAAGACGAGGTCGTGTTTCGCCGTTAGCTGCTTGGCTTCGCTTTCATGGTCGTATCGTCTAAAAAGTCCGTTCTTGCAGCATTGCGTGCGCGCGAATGCAGGTAACATGCACGTTCTCGTCGCAGAATGCTTCGGTTCTTCTAAGAAGTGCTGCTACATTACACGGTCGCGTGGACATATTGCTCCTGTCAAAGCCTCAAGATTGTACGGAGCAAAAATTCTTGCGGAAGGGTTTTTTTAAAGAGAACCGTTGATTTATGTGTGGGGTTTAACGTCCCAAAACCACCATATGATTATGAGAGACGCCGTAGTGGAGGGCTCCGGAAATTTCGACCACCTGGGCTTCTTTAACGTGCACCCAAATCTGAGCGCACGGTTGAAGAGAACCGTGGCTTTCGTCCTACGCAATACAACTCCACAGATAATTTTAGTATGTTACCATCTCTGTAAACAAGGCATTGCTCCCACCTGGATGGGACATTTTTACGCATGCCATCCTGTGGCCAAATATGCCAGGGCTCTACAAAGCCTCTACTTCTGTAGTTTATTTGGAACATTAAACATTAAATGTACACTGAGTGACTGAAAGAACTTGGAAGTCCAAAGACGAGACATTTAATTCAGAAATACTGAAAAAATGCACGAGCAGCCATGGCAGCTCTAAAATAGCATATTTAAAATCCTTGCATTTAACTGCAATGCGTCCTTTTGATAAGCTTGAAAGAATAATACTTTTTGCCAAGAGCCGTGGATATACTGCAGTTCAAAAATAAAAATACAGACGTATTCAGTACAACGCAGGCGCTATCTGCTTCGCCTCTTGCAAGCGAGTACATGAAGGTATTCAATATTAGCTCATAGTTCAATAAAATGCGACCTCACAAATTTTTTGCAGATGGATTATTCAATCCATCAATGTTTATGTTACGAAAAATTGATTTGCTTTACTGTAACCACGCACCTAAGTGAAATTAATGTGAAATGTAGGCATCAGTATGTTTAGCGAAAAGCTGTACTTTAGAGGTGCCTAAACACCAGTCTTGTACACGTTCCGCTAAGAGAGTAACGAAAGCTCGTTCTTCGTTCTTTCTAAGTTTTGAACCGAGTTACCGTTACAAGTTGATATAATGCTAAAATAACCCGTCAGAGTTACGTGTAAAAATTGAAACGTGTCGTTTTAATAACGTTACATTGGATTATCTGACAAAAAAGGGTTGCCACGTTATACTCGCTCGGTGTAACCTCCTTAGTTTTAGAAAGGTTTAGCGAGCGTTGAGCCGCAGTGCCATGAATACAATGAACTAGTATATACCATGAATGAACTCGAGGTGGTTAAAGGTGGGAAGTAGATACGAAGCGCAAGCCGTAAGAAAGTAAAAGCCAAATTCTCCTGCCTCTCATTTCCCTTTAGCAGCCATTGGCACGTACATTAAGCACTATCTGACAGGAAAAGGTTGCTACGTTATACTAGCTGGGCGTAACCTCCTTGGTTTTAGAAAGGTTTATTGAGCGTTGGTCCGCAGTACCATGAATACAGTAAACCAGTATATACCATGAACTCGGGGTGGTTAAAGGTGGGAAGTAGACACGAAGCGCAAGCCGTAAGAAAGTGTGCGTGTGCCTCCTCTCGTTTAGTCCTTCGAATGTCCACTGGATGGCGGTGCTTTTATATGAGGAATATATGATGAAAAGATGCGGATGGTGGTACTTGGAGTGTTGAATAGGTGGACGATCGGACACACCGACATATACATGGATGGACGCACGGATGGCTGACGGACGGATGGATGCATTGACGGACGCAGGGGTGGATGCATGGTATGGACAAACGCAGGGACGGACGCACAGATGGGCGTGCGGACGCACGAACAGACGCACGCACGGACGGGCAGATGGACGCATAAACGGTCACACAGACGGACGCATGGAAGCAAGAACGAATGGACGGACGAATGCTTCGCCCCACTCCCCATCATTCACTCCGTGGATATGCTGCCAATTTGTTTTTGTTTTTCCTCGTTGCTTGACTGAGAAACACCACATGCACCATTGAAAACTTAGCAGAAACTGTGGTAGACAGAGCGTCTTTTGTCTACGAAGACAGCACCACCGCATTTCAGTGACGTAGCTCCGGTGGAATTTCGGTCCAATAGGCGCACGTGCTCTGTGAGCGAAGCAGAAGAGGACGAACAGTACACAAGATGTGCGGGCCGTGCTTCGCGATCACTATACTATACGACACACGGAATACCTCGAATGTAACACTAATGTTGTAAAAATAGTACAACCGTTCCTTCTGCTCGCGGTCGGTCTCAGTGTCGTGCGCTTTCTTGCGTCCCTGGTGGATGCCTTCAAGTGGAAGCCATGCATGCACCACAAACGTGACAGGCGAGCGCTACATTTTCGCGCCACTCGTGGTAACCCATGCGAGCACCTGTTCAGTGGCGTGGAACGTTTTCAGAAGTAGCGCCACTCCCTCAGCCGTCCAGTGGTATAATAGGAACGTCTTACAGTTGCAGCTCCATCGATCCTCAAGGGAACAGTGGCGTTCCTTCAAAAAACTACCAAGCATTTCCCCGAGGGTGAACATGGTTAAGTGCGAATGCACGGGCTGATGCTATGAGGGGTATTTATTAATTCGCACTATTATATTTAATAATCGCACTATGGTGCCTTTATGGTGTAATGGTTCCTGGGAATCGCAATTTGATCACACGGGGGAGTTTACGTTAACTCACTGGCGAATGCCAACGGAATTTAACTTTACTCCCCCTCATAGCATCACCCCGTGCATTCGCACTTAACCATGTTCACCCTCGGGAAAATGCTTGGGAGTTTTATTACTGATGATGATGATTAAAGTATAATTAATGAATTTAAGTGTTGTTTGTCATGAAGCATTTGTACACAGATACATTATA